AAACGTCACACGTGTTTAGCAACAGGATAAGGGATAATTTTACACGATAATTTTAACCCCAAAATGATCTCAAAAAACTATACTGGATATCTTATGTGAGTCCATATAGAAAGTTAGAATTAAAAAAGACAGAATTAAATGAGCAATATCGGTAGTATTCTGCGAATAACAGGAACAAGTAATAAATGAGCATAGGCTTGATATACAAACCCTATTTTAATACGTATTAATATAAGATATTTATACAAAATATGTATGTTGGAAAAGTAAACTTTAACTTAAACCTTCCTCGCTTCCACACACACACACACACACACACACATATATATATATATATATATATATATATATATATATGTATGTGTGGGGGGGTGGCTGCTTGGAGAGTTGTTTGGGACATTAGGTTTCACCCATTCACAACGCTACCACCACCCCCACAAACATAACCACCGCCATGACAACTAGCATGGCCATCACAAGAAATATAACCATTAAACAATAAAATTTATTATTTTGTTACTATTGCCATTACTATTAGTATTGTTGCTACCACTTTTAGAACCATTACTACCACAATTAGTAATATTTTTGATCATTGTTATTATTATTATTTTTATTATTATGATTACCACATTTATTATCATTATTATCAGTATTATTATTATTGCTTATTATTTTATTTACTTTTTTTTTATTTATTCCTAAATATTGTTTTTTAATTATTTTTAATGTCGTTATCACTGTTATTACTAATATTGTTGTTGTTGTTGTTATCGTTATCATCATGATTAGCGATAACATTACCGTTCATCATAACTAATAACATATCAATTATTATCAATATATCAATAATAATATCACAGCTAATATTACGATTAACATAAATGCAATCGTTAAAAAAAAAACTACAAATAGCATCGCCATGTCTACAGACAGAACCCAATTTAACCCACGTGGTGGTGGTAGACCCAAGTCAATGAATGTAGGTGTGTAAATACATATGTCTGTGTCTGTGTGTATGTTTGTGAGTGCGTGTGACCATGTCTGCCGGTGAAAAGAGCCGACATGAAAAAATGCCAAAGCCGCTCCAATCTGTACCCCTACTAAGAGAACATTGCGACATTTATGAAACGCTACAATTTTGACAGCGAAATAGACACAATGAAATTGCGTACGTACGTGTGTTCGAGCGTGCGAACATGTAATTGCGCCTAACTCAAGATTGTAAACATGAGTGTGTATGTATGAACCAACATGTATATGTCTGTATATATATATATATGCGTATATATGCGTGAGTGTCATCCCAAACAAGCATAGAACAAGAAAATTCACCCCTCCCACCACACAGAAATAAAAAATATAAATAAAGCCTAAATAGATCTACTTTTGAAAAATTAAACCAGTTTGTCTGAAGATCGCGAAAGCGTAAAACTTAACGTCACAAAAACATTCTATGCAACCGCATATGTTGGCTCTATCACGGATATTGAACACTTTCCACTCATAACCGTATATATATATATATATATATATATATATATATGTATGTATGTATGTATGTATGTATGTATGTAGTATCTATGGCTAAATAATCTACACATATTATTTCTATTCATTTTATTTTTTAATTCACTCAAATTCCCGGGTCAGTTTCTTAGTGCTGTTGCAAAACTGAGTGAAAAAACGCCGCAGTTTTAGTTATTTCTTTTATTTTCTCAAGTACTTTCAATCTCTTCTAAAATCATCTTCAGAGGAAAATTGCTAAGACGAGAATTAATGTAATTAATAGTTTAATTTTTTTATTATTAAGGTTTTAAAAATACTCAAACTGATTTTTTTTAAATTAAAAATAAATTGCAATTTGACCATCCAAAACATTTGTTTTATAGAGATTTAAAAAGATTGTTGCTTTACTCATAATTAATTTTATTTAGTGTTGGTTTCATTTTTTTTATAGAGCGCTTCGAAAATTTGAAGTTTTTTTTTTTTTCAGGTTACGACGAGAGCCATCCTTGTACATATATGTGTGTGTGTGTGTGTGTGTGTGTGTGTGTGTGTGTGTGTGTGTGTAAAATTAATAGTTAAATATCATTCGTACAAAAAGTTGAGTTTAAGCACAATTAACCTATTGTAACCGGCTTTAATTATTTATTTTAGTCCCAGTGGATGTAAACCGTTCTCTCTTCCTGCAACGTGACCACATGTGGATTTTTAATCGCCATTCAACTAAGCCCGTATGAATTTATTTCCGATAAAATATAAGACCGAATGCTTAATCTTTTTATTTCTATTGTAATATTTCCGATCAACTGAAAAAAGCCTTCTTTTAGATGTTATTTTCTTTGCATCCGGAAGTGTTACGTGTTTCTTCGTATGTAGATGTGGTTTATAATGTTTTTTGTTATTCAAAGCTTGCATATCAGGTACGTTTCTATACGTATTTCTTATTTATTGGATTTTTAATAATGTTTTGCAAAAGTTAACATAAATAACCTAGTTTTAGTAAAGTAAAATATTTAATCTAGAATGTTGTTAATATTTTACGTTATATAAAATTCTTATTAATTTATCTTTATTATATGCAATTTACATTCTTTCGTGCCGTTGATGAGATATAATAGTATAATATTTATTATCTAAAAATATTCAATTGGTATATGAACTGCATTAATTTAAGCGAACTACTAGATTGACAAATATGTCTCATTGTTTTAGTTACCGTAAGAAATATTCTAATAGTTCTCGCACTTCTCGCTTGGGAAATTCTCTTCCAATTGTGCTTCCCTGCTACTTACGTTCTAAATTAAATCTAACTGTTTTCATGAAACGTGTTTTTTATTATCCTTATACTGCTAAAACTCTTTTCATTCTCTTTCACTCCTGATAATCCTTTTGAGTCTTAGCATTAAATCCTTGTCCAGGCAGATTAAATTATTTTTTTTAATCTTCATTTTCATTCGTGTAAGCCAATGGTAAGATAAATCTTAGGTTCTACATTTAAAGAGATGAGTGCTTTTCTCAAAACTTTTGTAATACTGCTTACATCTTTTTAGCTTCTGCATGTTCAGTTGATTATGAAATGTTCTAGCGACCGAAAACATGTGAAAACCTGACGGTACTAAAGCTGATGAGTATGGAAAATGCGGAAGAACCTCTCATTTTAAACAGCTTTGTCCTGTAGAGTGTGTCCTTGCACTGAATAATGTCACGTCACTCTTTGAGTTAGCACTGTACCATGTAATCTCGTACTACTGAGTCACCGGGGACTAAACCCTTTATCCTACCAGGTTGTTTAGGTGGTTAAACAATCTGCAGGATTAATAACAAAACTTTGCAAAAGGCGGATGAACCTTAAGTATGGTCAACGCTAATTTAGCACAATGGGCTGGACTGAGATCCATACCCATGGATACAGCCAGTCCGGCGACGTGGTATCGCTGGACGGTGAGATTCCTAAACTGAAGTCAAGAATTAAGGTAGGGTTCCACAGATGGAATCAATGGCCACGAGTCTAGCATTCAAGTTGGAAGACATGGGCTGTAGTTTGACCTGGAGAGTGCACAACCAGGTCTACTTGTCCAAAGCATGCAAGGCATGAATAAATAGACGGAAACTGACAGGTGTTATCCTTCTTCATTCTACTCGATTAATTTTCATTTAAACAATTTACAATTCGAATAAATGTTTTTCGAATAGTTATCTTCGAACAATTTTCTCGATACCTGTAAAAATGAAAGGTTAGCTTTCCTGGTTAAAAAAACTGTTGCAGATGGTGGAACCTCGTGTTCGTTTCTCTCTCGAAAGCTCGGGAAAATTTCTTATTTTGCCCGTTTTCCCAATTAAACTGTAAAATACACATTAAACGGCAAAATGTCGGATAGAATAGACAATAAACTAATTCTACATGCATTTTCATTCCACAAAACCTTGGTTTTGCTGTGCATTGTTGACTCATAATTCATAGCTGTGAAATGCGTCATTTACTACCGAACATCCGAATATCTGAAGACATTGAGGTGAAATCTAAATACATTGTGGCGAATTGAAGCAATGAATTCCTATACTGACGAAATTGATGCACATGTAAATTATTTGATTCCTTCATTTATTTTAAACTAAAATTCTCGGCTCGAGAACTTCTTAAGCTGGATGATTATTGTTAAAAGGATTTTGATGAACGAGGTGTGGGATACGAATAAAATAGGAGATGGTAGCAAGCGAACATTATGAGCATATGAAGGATAGATGCCGCTTTGATTGAAGTCGTTAAACATATAAATTTTAAACGAGGGCGTATGTTGACTATAGGAGCAATTCTTGGGGAGAAGCTCTGTGAATAGAACTTTCTCGATACATTTGGAATACGGAGAAAATGAGGGTGATTGAACTTCTGTGGATGTAGCATGGCCTCTCCTTTCTGTAAAGGTCTGAACTGCTGGAAATAAAAAATGGATCTCGTCTGAATATTTGTCATTAAAATTGTGTTAGAAAATAATTTCATATACATGTTTTAGATTAAAAAAAACAAAAGGCTATTTTTTTATGAAAGGACTGTTGAACAATTAATGTAAAGTTTGCATCAGTTTAATTCAATAAATCATGTCGAAAAAATAGCGTTAATATATTTTGATATATAAAAGAAAAATTACTTTTAGTATTTTCATTTACTGAAGCGACCTGTTTTGCTATGCAAAATATATTCAAATGCTAATGAATTTTAATAATATAATTTGCATATTGCAGTAGAATTGCCCCCTAAATTGACTTGCAAAATAAAAAGGAAAATTTGAAGAAATAAATCAGAAAGTTAATTTGTCAATCAGAGAAGACGTTACTGCACATACATGAAGGCATTCTTATCACTCAGTCAAATAGTGAGACGACACTTAGTAAATTTGTGTAATATTATAACGTTGTCTTTACAATGAGACAGCGAATAAATTCTTCACCTCACATGCAGTGTTTATTTTTAAAATATTATTTAACCCTCTCCTGACCTATAGGTTAAATTGCAAGGTGGAATTATCTCTTGAGCTGTGGCTTGTAACAAGTGTAAGACAAAAACAAGACTGGATTTTAAAAAAAATAGATTTTTAGCCTTGGCGAGGTGCATACTGTAACTTCGGTTCAGCCTAGGGGATTCCTTGATCTTGACTGAGGTTATATAAAAGAAAAAGCTTAACCCAGATCTATTCACCTGGCCAGAAGCCAGATTATATGCCTTATGGTTCAAAACTGGCCCTTGATTCAGGCTGAATACGATAAAAGAGAAGGTGACGTGGTAAATGATAATTATCCTTTTTTATTTTATTTTAATCGGTATCACCCCAAGCAAGACACAAGATGTTACAGAGTGTGGGAGAATTAGGAACAGAAACATTAATAATGAGCGAGAAGAGGGAAAATAATCAGGAGGACAGTAGATTGTAATTGATATTGCATTTAAATTTTTGTAGTTTAAAGTTGGCGGAACTAGAATAGAGTTGCACAAGCGAGAAGTGCGAAAAAAGAAACTGCTAACATATAATCTACGGTTAAATCTCGCCAGCTCAACTCTCACTTGATGAGATCCCAACGCCTGTCTAGTACTGAGCTTAAAATCAAAAAGTCCAGGTAGCATAGTGAAGAACTGGTCCGGACAATTACCATGAAAGTATTTATAGAAAAGACAGAGAGAGGCAACCTTACGGCGGTGGGAAAGTGACTGGAGCCGAGCTGCCAGATCAGGACCAGTAATATTGCTGATTCTACTTTGGATTTTATCAAGGAGCTCAAGGTAAATAACAAGGTTTATATGCGGCAGCATTATTTTAAGAATAGACGAATGGTAGACTTATAAATACGTAAAATAGATTCTGAAGCGGAAAATGTCTCGCACGACACGGTGAACCAACTTTCCTAGCAGCTGGCCTAGCAATGGAGTCAATATTGTCAAACAACTTGATGTCTGCTGAGAACGTTAGCCTGACAAGGTGCAACGATTCATTTTCCTGACGGTTAGCATCAGCCATACTGATGGAGAACAGAGTGAGGTCTCTCAGATGATTAATGGAGATAAATATAGTTTATCGAAAACTATTCGGACTGGTTTAAAAATTGGATGATTGATTGGGATACGTGAGTTTGAAGCGGAATAATCTGAGTGGGATCAAAGGGATATTTCGCTAATATCAAATGACCGCATAATTTCCGGACATAGTTCGTATGTAAATATCAGAAATTCATTGAAAATAGTACAGAAAAGTAAATAAACGTGATATATAAGAATACTGAACGAAAAGATGATGGTTAAGAAAAAATATATTGGAGACCTGAAAGGAAATGAAATGTACAATTCCAAACATTTGGATAGTACTGAAGATTTTCAGGTCTTGATAAGTAATTTCCGACATTTCAAAGCTTGTATTTGACAAGTATGTCAGTCTATTTTCCGGGCTGTTTCATCAAATATGATTTTCGAAGGAATAAAAAATAACGCTCCGTACCGACCATGGATGTAATGCTACAAAGAAATGCACATAAAAGTCACCGAATATTTCAAATGATAGCTACTTTTCAAAACCGCTTTCTATCACTATTTCGATAATATTTAATGTCAATATTTCTTCTTGATGCCATGAGGACATACTTACCTGACATCAAGTACTGAATGTAATATTCTTCTTAGGAAGAGCTTAACACAATATTATCAAATTATATTTTCACTTTAATTAACCAGCATAAAAAATTAAGGAATAAACATTTGCAGGATCATTTCACCTTGGAACCTTGTCTCATTGGAACATTAGTATACAGTGCAACCTACTGGTAAAATAAAGTGTCATGATCAGTAACGGAGTTTCAAGGTAAGGAACCTAAGGAATATGATTTTGAATTTTGATGTAGGACAATCTGTATTTTTTTATAATGCTCGTATAATACCGACCTGTGGACTGCTATAAAAATCGACTGATGAAATAAATATTAATTGAAAACTCCTTCTTCTCCTCCTCCTCCTCCTCCTCCTTATACTACTACTACTACTACTGATAATAATAATTCTATTCAATATAATAACTATTATATTAAATCAATTGCTAGGTCTGCTATTAGGGAAGTTCATTCACTATGTTATGCTATATATTTTTCACCAGAATCTATCTTACGCATGTATAAAACTATTATTCGTTGATGCATTGAATATTGCGGTCACATCTGGTCTGGCGCTTCTGCTATGTATTTAGAAATTATTGATAAAATACAAAGAAGAATTTACGATGTTATCGGTCCTTACATGGTATTTCGGCTTCATTCACTTTCCCACCACCATAATGTAACTTAACTGTGCTTTTTTTATTAATAATTTTATGGTAGTTATTCTGATGAACTTTCTTTTTTACATTCTCCACCAGTGTAAATATGGGAACTATTTAGGACTTCATAGAGACTTTAGGTATTATGGTGACTGTAGAAAAAATGTGTTGTTTTGGTGTATGGAATATTGTAGTATATTTGGGTCAATAATCGTGGCTAGCTAAGTTTATCATAAAACAGATTGAACATCATCTTTCCCCTATCCCCTCCATTTTAGCCTTGTTCCACATTTTAGTATTTTTCAAAATAAATATTACTTTCTATAATTGTTAGATGTAGCACTAAGTCACATGCTAACAGTTTCTTCTCTCGCACTTCTCTCTTGTGAAACTCTTTTAGCCTCTTGCTTTACAATCAACTTTGACCTTCAAAATTGAAATGCAATGTCAATCGTCATCTTCTGTCTCTCTAATTCCTATTCCTTTATTAACCTCTCTCTTTAATAAGCTTTTTTCTCGGATTTTTTCACTTATTAACCCAATGTGTCTTAGTGGCTTTATCACCTTGCTTGAAGTGAAATTATAGAAAAGCCACTGCTGAATATTTAATAAAAATAGGGCAATTGTAATTTCATTTGCATCAGGCTTTGGAATATGTTTTAGCTTTATGTTTCGATGTTATATGATAGAATGATATGAACGAATAAATCTTTCGATATAAAACCTGCTATAAAAGTCTGTGTATAAACCAAAATTTGCGGTACAAAATCTACGATAACATATATGTGTTACATAACAGAATCTGGATTACCAACTATACGTGACAAAAATCTGTGTTACAATATCTGTTATATATAATCAGAGTGACTTAATGTCTGATATAAAAACCTGTGATTCAAAATTGATGATACAAAATCTGTGTTGTAATATCTTTTCCAAAACCTATGATAAAACATCTGAATTCCAAAATCCTCGATGCAAAATCTACTACACCTAATGATAAACTACATCCAACAGCAAGGCTTCTGATTGGGAGGTTGGAGTTTTTAAGAGAATGAAACCACCTCTTAATTGCTGTTGTTCCCAGCTCCACTCTGACCCGGGGTCGTAGCACTGTCAGGGTCCCAGCTATGACAAAACACACTATGAAATTATAAAAATATATTATTATACTAAAAATACCAGCAATGCATTTTTATATAAACAAATAAGCAACAATACATATTTATAGCAAAAATTACCAATAATACACTTTTAAAGCAATTCATTTTATAGTAGAATAGACAATAATACATTTTACATCAAAATTACCAACAATACATTTTATCTGTAATTGAAGGTATACAGTTGCGTGTAAAATATATTTAGCTGAAGCCATAAAATTGTGTTCAAGATATTTCGATTTCCGTATTAAATAAGCCATAGAGGTTGATATGCCGCTAAACAAAATCAACCAACCAACAAAATCTATACGTTACAAAATCAGCGATAAAAAAAAAAAGATTGTTACTTCATCGATTGACTGAATGTCGAAGTAACTAACTCTAAAGCGTTTACTGCCACATTTAACAAATTGATATTTTGTCTGCAGACAATTTCGAGTTAAACGCCTTATGTAGTTTTGGTTTAAAACGAAGGCCTTTTATAAAACTAGATATAAAGAAAATGGACAAGTCTATCAATGCCACTTACACATTTTCAATGCAAGCGTACATACGAACTGCAATTATTGGAATTTAAAAAAAAACAAAAAAAAACTTTATAATCAATTTATTTCGTATGAAAATATTCGTAGTATAAGCGATAAAACACAAATGTAGATAGGTAAAGATATATCGTTAAATGAATTAATGAATAAAACATGAATTTCCTTACATGTCTGAATATTAAAATCATGAAGGATAATTACCATTCTATCTCTATCTTGCTTGATATTTATTTCACCAACTCAAGCGAGCGGAACAAAAAATATGTCATGAAATAAGCTGTTATATAATATCTTAAACCCAATTTTCAAATTACCGAATAATGACATATGACTTCCAAATTATACAAATTTAATCATTTATAGGCTTCAAAATAATAAAAAAGAAACCTATACTAAACAACAGAAACAGCCTCACTTGAGGACTTTCAACAACAGCAACAACTAAAACGGATAGCACATATAACGCGATGAGTAAATAATTGCTTATTCAAGATGACGTTCGACCTGGATATGACGATAAACTACATCCGGCAACAAGGCTTCTGATCGGGAGATTGGAGGTTTTGAGGAGCGTGGATCCAAATCTTAACTGCTATTTTTCCCAGGTCAACCCTGACACAGGGTGGGGTATCACCGGTCAGGTTCCGATCTATGGGAAAATAGAGAAAAATCAGCAGTAATTTTTTTTTTTATAATAAAATGAACAACAATAGATTTTTATAGGAAAATAGCAATCAATGCAACATTAAAAAATATAAAAATACTACATTTTCATAGTAAGATTTTATGACCTACATAATATATATCTACGAAAGATACCTTTTACTCGGAAAGTATAAAACTATGTACAAAATAATTGTAGTTGAAAACATAAAATTACGTATTTAGATTTTAGCATTAAATAATCCATAGCGATACTGATATGCTTATAAACAAAATCAACCAACCAAGATGATGACGTTCCACACTACTTCCAACAAAGGTTATGAAGGGAAAACCCCATCAGGACTGGAAAGAGTGATAACCGTAACTGGCATTTTGTCATTAAAAAAAAAAAAATAATGAAAATTTATTGTACTAACCTACGCATCCTAGTAAAACCAACTGTATTTT